GGAAGTGCCATAACTTCACAGGTATTATTTGAAAGTAAAGCATGATATTCATCATCCATGGCTGCAACCCAATCAGGATGATGAGAAGCCTCAGCAAAAGTTTTGGGCTCAAAGACAGTAGACAGAGCCAGTGTGTAATTTCTGTGCTGAGGGGACAACATATCATAACCCAAATGATCTTCAATAGGATATGTTTTGCTAGATTTAGTCTCTTTCTTCATAGAAGCTGATTGAGGAGACAATTGAGACATGAGACTACAATGATAATCTTTCAGATAAGGAGGAGCTCGTTTGACCTTGGTGGATTTTCTGATAGATGTGACTGGTAAAAAAGTAGGGTAAGGTGAAGAGCCATTGGGAGGCTGTATAGGAGAAGAATCAACTGGAGAGTCGTGAGGGGCTAGAGAGTGATGAGTATCTGTGATAGGTCTGAAAAAAGGATCATCCATAAACTGATGAAGGCTGATAGGAAATAAAGAAGTGATTGAGTCGATTGAAGTGTCAGATTTTGAAAGGAACCGAAGAAAAGAGGGATGATAGAAAGGGAAGATGTTCTCAAAGAAGGAGACATCTCTTGATACGAAAATCACATTGGTTTGAAGGTTGAAAAGCTTATAAGCTTTTACTCCAAAAGGATAGCCCAGAAAGATGCAAGGTACTGCCCTGGGATCAAATTTGGTCATGTTCCTCTTCAAGGTAGAAGCATAGCATAGGCAACCGAAGACCTTTAAGTGGTTGTAGAAAGGGGCTGTCTGAAATAGACTTTCATAAGGAGTTTTATGATCAAGAATTCTGGTGGGAGTCCTATTTATGAGTTAAGTGGCAGTTAGGAGACAATCTCCCCAAAACTGATAAGGAAGATTAGCTTGGAACTTGAGAGCTCTAGCAACATTGAGTAAGTGATGATGCTTTCTCTCAACTACCCCTTTTTGGTGAGGTGTTTCGACACAGGTAAGTTGATGAACAATGCCCTTAGAATGATAAAAATCAAGCATTTGAAATTCTAATTCATTGTCAGATCTGATGGTTTTTATATTGCACTGAAAGTGAGTCTTAATAAGATGATAAAAGGATTGAATTAGGACTCTAGTCTGAGACTTGTTCTTCATGAGACAAGTCCAAGTTATTCGACTATAATCATCAACGATAGTGAGGAAATATCTGGAACCGTTCAAGGAAAGGATTGAATAAGGTCCCCAAATGTCACAATGTATAATGTCAAAGGGTCTGGAAGTTTTAGTGCCACTATTAGGAAAGGGCAGCCTGTGATGTTTCGCCAATGGACAGATAGGACAATGCAAGCACTTATTGACATCAATATTAGGAATAGATTTATTCAAAAGAGAAAGTTTAGAAGTAGACAAATGTCCCAATCGACAATGCCAGATATTAAAAATTCATTGTGAAATCATTACCATCAATGGTATTACAAAAGGGAATTGACTTATTACAATCAAAAGGAAAATTGGAAAGAAGGACAGTAGCATCAGCAGGAGCAGATTGAAGTTGCTGCTGGTGATGTGAAGGAAGAACGGCAGAAACAGAATTGAATTGTGAGTGATGAAAGTGATATAACCCATGCTCAAGTCTGCCTTCCCCAATCATCTTCCACGTCGAAGGATCCTGAATAAGGCAAACGTCATGAAAGAAAGTCAGATAACACTTATGTTGAAGAATCAACTTGCTCACTGAAATCAGGTTAAACTTAAATGATGGCACAACTAGTACATTCTGTAAGCATAAATTAGGAGACAACTTCACTTCTCCTATATGAGTAACAGCAGCTGAAGTACCATTAGGTAACCTCACAGAAGTACCAACAATTTCAGACACATTAGTCAGACTTTTGACAGAATTAACCGTGTGTTTAGATGCACCAGTATCTATGATCCATGAATAAGATACAGATGCATTATTAAACTGAAATCGACTACCTGAGAAAGCAAATGAATCAATATCAGTGGCAGAAGTTGAACTTATATTCTGAGGCTGTGAATTTTGAGTACTTTTGCTATGTAATTGAGGCATTATCATAGCCAAAATCTGTTGACACTGAGTGGAAGTAAGATGTGATAGAGAATTTATTATTCCAGATGTATCAACATTAGGCATTGGACTCTGATGTATTTGCCCTACAGCATTGGCAATAGGAGGTTTTCCTCTACCAGTGGAAAAACTCAAACCAGATCGATAATTGGGAGGACTTCCCTTATCTGTTGAAGAAGTAAAACCAGATCGATGATTAGGAGGATAACCAATAAGTTTGTAGCATTTTCCCTTGATATGACCAGGCATTCCACAATGACTACAAACAGGTCTCTCTCTTCTTTGGAAAGGATTGGTGAAATTAGATCTCTGATTAAAAGGTCTCTGTAATGCCTTACTCGCAAAAGCAGCTGCATCATATGAGGCAGGTTTATTAGCCGTAATGTCCTTTTATTTTTCATCTTGCAATACAAAAGCAAAAGCCTTATTCAATGTTAGTAACGGATCCATCAATAAAATTTGACCTCTAACACCAAAAAACTGATCATCCAATCCCATGAGGAATTGCATAATTTGATCCTCACGCTTGTACTCAGTGTTTTCAACTCCAGGTCTATAATTTTCTAGTTCTTCCCAAAGGCCTTTTAGCCTATTGAAGTAGGAATTAACAGAATTATTTCCCTGCGAAATCGAAGCAATTTGTTTCTTCAACTCATAGATACTAGGGCCATTCCCCTGACTGTACCTATCACGTAATTCTATCCATATTTCTCTTGCTGAATCCTTATGCATAACACTTGGATAGAGCTCCTTAGGGATCGAATTAATGATCCAAGAGGAAACAACATGATTGCATCTTCTCCAAGCCGAAAATAGAGGATCAGTCTGAGAGGGTTTGATGATAGATCCATCAATGAAACATTCTTTATTCTTCACACTGAGCGCCATAATAGCTGCTTGACTCCATGTAGCATAATTTTCTTCTGTAAGAACCACTGAAATCAGCTGCATTCCAGTGTTATCTCCGTAATGAAGGTAATAAGGGCTACTTGGATCACTCATCAAACGATTGACCAAGGAAACTACATCTCCTCCAGCTGGATCCTCAGCTGATGATTCCCCAAACGAATTCGTCTACTCAAACTGATTTTGAGATTGTGCCTGAACACTTGATTTATTTGCCATTGCTAATAGATGAAAATCAGAGGAAGAAATCAGCAGATCTATACACAAAAAGTGTTAATTGCTCTGATATCATGTTGAATTGAGATAAGCAAATGGAGAAAAGAAGAAAGAAAGACGAGAAAAATCGAATTGATTTAGCTGAATTGAGAATTACAAAATCTAAGAATGGAAAGGGGGCCAATTGCCAATTATATAGACGAGGCTAACGATCAACTGAATTGAACAAAGTAAAAGACTAAAATAACCCTCAACTATTATTAATATCTCAACATAATGCAAAAGAGCCGAGAACTAGAATTAGCAAAGAAAACAACTTGGATCTCTATCTCATCTTTCGACACTTCTTCTTCGACTTCCTAATCGTCTTCTTCTTCTACTATTACTAATCACATAAATCATACAAGTATATTATGAATAAATGTAACTACTATAGCACATAGAATAAAAAATTAAGGGAAACTTACCTTGACTCTCATGATGAAACTAAAAAATTGCATTAACGTATCCTAGCAAAAATAGATAGATAATTGACAAATGCAAGTACATAAATCTCTAGCGTTCGCCATGTAATTTATGGCAAAGCATTGAGTCACCAAGAGGCCCAAGATGGTTCGATCCAGTAAAGATTCAACTAGACTCCAATGCTTCAAATCATCTGGGCGCTTCATCTATTAGTGATGATGATGAGGTTTGTGAAGTTCTTCCCTATGGAGACTCACTTCCATTATGGTTCCAGTGGGTTCCCTTAACCAAATCACTGCTTATGAATCATCGACTTATTATTCGACTGGCAAGCGGTCACAAACCTAGCTCCTCCAAAATAGGATTTGTAGTCTTTCTTTTCATGGTTGGTAGGCAGTTATTCATTTTTCTACTATCAGTACGAAGATGAAGACAGAGATGTGGAGGAGGCATGTCACCGAATGACGGAGGCAAATGATTTTATGTTCTCTCTCCAAATAATTTTATACAATTACTATATCAAAAATTGAATTTCAAAAGATAATTTAAAAAAAAAAAAAATTAGCACATTTACGGGATTTGGATTAAAAATTAAAAACAAAATACTATATATATTTACATTTTTTTTAAAAAAATACACTAACCTTATTTGTGAATAAAAAATAAGTTATCCCTAATTTTTTATAGGGCAAATATTCTTGGCCAAGCCCTAGAACAAGGCACCTATGTGGCGCTGCCCTATTGGAGGGGAGGCTGGCCGAAGAACAGGGCGCCTACGTGGTGCCCCCTATTGGAGGGGGGCTGACCGAAGGCTCAAATAGCAAGGTTCTTTTTTATAATGGGAGCCTAAAAACATGGCTTTCATTTATTTCCCAAATTAAAGAGCGTAACTGACAGCAAAACCAAAGGTTCCGCCCACCTTGTGCGATTAAGCTTTGACAATCATTTTTTTTGGAAGAATGAGTTTTTAAATATTTAGCCCGTATTTGATTTTTATTTCTTTCAAAATATATTTTTTTCTCTCCTTTTTAAATGCACATTCTTTAATAAGATAATATTACTTACAAATTCAAAAAATTTCCTTACTTTTTAATTATATACTCTTTATTAATCTATTATTCCAAAATGCATTATTTATCTTTTAATGGGGCTCAAACATGATATTAATAATAAAAGTTCAGAGAAAATGTGCTTAAAAAGTAGGGAAAATTTTTAAATTTATTTTAAGAATATTTTAGGGTAAGAATGTTTGAAAATGAGTAAGGAAAAAAAAATAAAAATTGAAAGGATGGTTAGAATTGAATGTTAGCAGTATGCAAAACCCTAGTTGAATCCCAACTCTAAAAACCTTCCTTCTCAAATTGACAATGGCAGACGTGAAAGCAGAACACGTTTCTACCGTAAAACGCAAGACCGATACCCCAGAATCCATCGGCGAAACTCTAGACAAAGAAGAACATGAAGCCGATTCCATCAAGAAGCGAAAGCTCGAAACCCCCTCATGCAATGACGCCTTTTCATGTGCTGCGGATGAGAAAAACCCCGACTTAAAGCAACATCATAACACTTCTCATCACGAAGATGAAGAAGAGGATGATGACGATGATCAAGAAGATTACGAAGGTGAAGAAGACAAACAGTCGGATGGTGAAGAAGCAATTCTTAATGGTAAGGGGAAGGGTAAGGGGATTGTGAGGGATGATAAAGGGAAAGGGAAATTGATTGAGGAATCCGATCATGATGATGATGATTCCAGTGATGATTGTGAAAGTGAATTGTCTGGTTTTGATAGTGATCTGGCGGATGATCCGCTTGCCGAGGTCGATTTGGATAATATTCTGCCTTCCAGGACACAACGGAGTGCTATTCAACCTGGATTCCATATCTCCGATGATCGCAACCAGGGTAGTGATGCTTAATTTAATTATTTTCGGTTTAATTAAAAATGGGAACAAAATTCAAGGTTACTATTACTATTAGTGCTACTCCTACTCCTATTCCTACTCCTACTGCTACTGCTACCTGACTGGAAATTTAGATCGGGTGAAGAGAAATTCAATATTGTAGTGTTGTAAAACATTATTGACTTCTCTTGATTAATTAATGCAGTTTTTTTGTTATTGTAATGAAATTTCGATCTGTCTCCTTTTCTTTTTTCTTTTTCTTTTTTTTATTTTTCGAATGAGATGTTTGCTTTATTCTCTCTGTCTCATGTTACGTTGAATTGTTAAAACAAATCGGCAATGTGAAATAGGTAATGCATTATAGAAACTCAAAAATACAATTGCTTTGACAATCCTGTTGTGTGATGTAGGTAATGCATTATATGAAACTCGAAATTTTAACTTATTTATCTGGAAGCTAATTGTGATTATCTATCAACGAGATCAGATATGGAAATATTTTTAGGTTAATGCAGTGGCGTCGTATCAGCACAATTTAAACCTAAAATTCAACATAATGATGCCATTTGTTAGTATTTGACAACTTAATTTCGAGCTATTGTTACCAGCCTAGATAATTGTCATGAATTCCTCTTGGTAGCCCATTTTCTCATCGATGCTAAGCCAAGAGCTTTTCAAGGAATGTGCTCTGGGAATCAAGTTGTGGGCAACTGGTCCAGAGACGCACCCGAAGGGAAATTCAGGTGAGGAAATGATTAATGTGATTTCTTATTTATGTAAGCTGTCTTCTCTGTAGATTTCTATTGATCAAATTACTGAAGATGGTCATTCAGATCTGTATTGCAGCCATGGCAGAAGATATGCTTGAACTGTAATCCATTCATTGTTACATTGATAAAAACTTTCTTCCCTACCTTCAATTTCCATTAACATATGTTTTGATCTTGTTGTTGTAACTCATCTCATATGTTTTGACTTGCTATAATCTTTTTAATATAATCCATCATCTCTTTGCATTTGTCTTGTGGTGATATTAAGTGTTTTCTTTCTCCATATTTGATGGCCTCATGCTTGGCTTTGGAACATTGACGTAATTGTGTCAATTTGACGAATTCTAATTATTGTTGTTCTTCATATATTTGGAAGTTAAAACATTCATATGCACACATTTACAAGTTTGATTGGATGCCATTCTGATGCATGTAGGGCATGTTTAGTTTAATCAAGTGTATAGGTATATATTCTGATCTTTGATAATTATTTACTTACTGCATATCGAGATCGTGCTACTATTACTTGAATGGAATTTGGATTGGGGGAAGAGAAATTCATTGTTGTAGTGTTGTAACACATTTTATTATGCAAGTTTTCCTATTTTGTCGATTTTAGCTATTTGTGTATTTGGATAGGTTCCATAATTCCAGGATGAGATGTTAGTTAAATGTTCTGAGCCTCAGTCATCGCGAATGTCTAAAATAACTCTGTGATGTTTGTAGATAATGCATTGTATAAAACTTGAAATTACAACTCATTTATCGGGAAGCTAATTGTGATTATCTTTGAACAAGTGTAGATATGGAAATTTGTAGGTTAATGCACTGTCGTTGTGTTGGAACAATTTAAACCTAAAATTCATAGATATGATGCCGTTTATTAGGACCTTACGATTGTCAATATGGAGCCATTTTTATCAGCCTCGGTAACTGTCGTGAATTCCTCTTGGTAGCCATTTTCACATCAATGCTAAGCCAAGAGATTTTCAAGGAGTGTGCTCTAGGAATCATGTTGTGGACTTATGGTCCAACGGACTCGTAGCCAAGGGTGAGCGAATGCCCAAAGGGCATGTTGACGAAATGATTGATGACACGACCCTATCTCGAGTCACCCTAGTGGACCC